TAGGGTTCAAGTCTTAGCCATTCAGTTCTTATCCTTCACAATTAATAAACTTTCTGCATCACTGGGATTGTGTGTGTTTTGATCAGATTTGATGGACATCTGTTGGGGTGTTTGATAGCTCATCAAATGTTGCTAAATTCTGACTCTGGCTGTTGAAACTAACCCCCGCACACGTCAAACCAACGATAAGAGGGAAAACAGAAATGTTGAAAATCTCTCATTAGGAATTAAAGATGCAGAAAATGCAGTTTTTCTGTATCTGTAAATACAGTTTGGTCATAGGTTTACATCCACTCATCAACCTACACAGGATCAAACATTACATATGGGCTCAAATATTTACACACACCCCCACTAATGTCTCTTTGCAACTTGCACCTCGACCAGCCATCAACAAGCTTCTGACATAATCCTGGCTGGATATTTGACCAGATGCTTTTATCTTGGTCAGCACCCTCTCAGTCCATGGCAATGTAAAACTCGTTTCACTGTGGACAGTGATGCTGGTGTGTGAGCACTGGTTGTTCCTGGATTGTTCCTAAACATCCTGACCACTTTTCTTTCATTTGAGGTTGACAGTTTGGGTCTTTTTCCAGACCTTAGCAAAGTGCTGACACATCCAAATAACTCACACTTATGTACAGTATTTGGCATCTGTACATAAGTGTCTTGTATTGTTCAAACCTGTGAGTGCTATCAAACAAATCCTTTTCATGACGGCAAAGGGAAACTACCAGTTATAGTCAATCACTAATAGCTTTCTCAAGTTTAAAGGCTTTATAGAATTTCCACTTATTAAAAGAATTAATTGAGTATATTTATATATTTGCACCTGTATGTTTACTACTGACTGTGTGTTTTAGATGTTTTAGATAAAATCCAAAATAAATTCAAACTTGTGCAGTAAGTCTACCCTGGAAAAGCAGTTCAAAGAAATCATTAAAATTCCAGAATTACCAGGATATTCCCGCCCATGATGAGTGGATCGAAACGTTTGATAACAACTGTATGTATATAAGATTTTCCCCAGTTTAACCCATTTATCTTATATATGAAGTGACACCACAAGTGGCTTTCTTTCTCTCCCAGCTTCAGTAATGCCCCCTGCTCCTTCCGAGAAGACGCTTTGCTCTGGCTCGGATTTCTCTTCCAAAGCCGTTTTGTGTCTGATTGAGGCCGTCGGGCGTCGCTGGGGTCTCTATGAGACTCGGGAACGCTCGCAGCTCTTCCAGAGTGTCCAAGAGGAGATGGCCTCCAAGGGGCACATACTGCCTGTTGAGAAAATCCGTCGCAAGTGGAACAACCTCATTGTGACATACAAGAGGGTTAAAGACCGCAGCCGGGAGACGGGACATGCTAAGACGTCTTGGGAGTATTTGTAAGTCATGGATTACAATGCTGTTTGATGTATTCATTGGTGTACTTTCTCCATATCTTTGTGTGTGTCTTGTTCCACTCTAGTTGATGGACGCCACCCTCTGCGACACCATTGGCACTCAGATCGTGAACAACAAACGAAACAAAGGCGGCAGCACGGTTTCTACACTGCCTGCTCCTTTGGCTAAGATCGCTGCAAAGCCCCTGCAGCTTCCACAGCCGACGTCCACCATCATCCGTCCTAGCAGTGACTTTGCTGCTGGTGCTGGTGGTGGTGGTGGTGGTGTGGACTCAGTAGGTCTGGGCTCCAGTGCTGGCAGCGCTGCCAGTACGTCGGTGACTGCAGCGACCATTAGCTCAGCTAATGCTCCAGACCTCAAGCCCCTGATCGTCCTCAATGGTGACATTGTTACTACTAGTATTCACCCAGCCACCATTGTGCCTGCTCCTTCTTTTATCACCTCGCCTTGTTATACAGAAACAGCCACCACATCCCCTTCCCTCATCTCCGCCAGTAACACAGACCTCAACACACTGGGCTACACGAGCCGCAAAGCTCCATCCATCTCATCAGGTGTCATCCCTTTTCGCCTGAGTACAACATCGCTCACCCAAAGCCAGAATCTCCTCGGCCTCTCCTCTTCATTCCCCCTCACGTCCTCCTGCCTCACTTCCTCTGCTGCCACCTCTTTGTCAACATCAACTGTGTCTGGAACTGAAGGACAGAACCAGAAGGCGAAAGCGGAGCAAGGCGGCTCCACTCTGTTCCAGGAGATTCTGAAGCGACAGGAGGAGCAGGCCTACCTCGATCGAGTGGCTCGCCGCAGGGTTGAAGCCAGAGAGAAGAGGCGCGAGAGGAGGGAGGTGCGAATGTCCGAGTCCCTAGGAAGGATAGCCACGGCCCTGGAGCTGCTCTCCTCCAAACAGGACACAGTCATCGCCCTCCTACAGAGGCTGGCTGATCGGAAATAATCTACAGTGAAAGCCTGGAAAGTAGAATCTCCTGACCTTGTTTTTCCCCCACCTGAGATCCTCCTTATGAAGCTCTCATGCACTATAACGCTACTTTAATGAGCATAGTTTAATATAAATGTGAATTTGACGAACTCTTAACTAAATAACAGACAAGCGCAAAGGTGAATCATTGTTTGTGCTTTTAAATTGTTGTGCTTTGTAAATATGTTAGTTTGCTTCACTAACATCTAATAAAAAGATTCTTTGGATATGCACCTTAAAGCTGTGGTCATTTGAACACTTTGTCCCCAGATTGCAAGAATAAAACACTGATTAACTGCTAAAAAGTTGCAATAAACTTTCAACCATTAAAATATTATCAAGGCCTAGAAAATCCCCCAAAATTTATTTAATAAAGAATCTTAAATGACAACATTTTCAGGTTTTAACAGGAAATCCTCATGAGTGACCTAACAGATAATCTCAGGTTCCATGTAGGCTTGTAGGATATTAACTGTATGTGTCTTAAAAGCAAATGTTATGATCACAGAGTCAACCCTAAAATAAAGTACAAGCCAGTAAGATTAGTTGCATCCTGTTAATGTTTGTTGAGGATTTGGAGACAAAATTCATTTATTCAATTCAATTCAATTTTATTTTATTTATATAATGCCAAATGACAACAACAGTCGCCTTAAGGTGCTTTATTTATTCATTAATGAATGAAAAAATGACTGCCACCAAGGCATCATTTGATGTTTGGATAATGATTATACCTTTCAGACAAATGTTGCAGTTAAAAATACAATATTTCATTGAAATGTAGCTGAAAAATTAACCATTAACTTGATGTTCTCTCAAAATACTACATAGGTCCGGTGTAAGTGTAGTTGATTACTTTTCATTGCTGAAAGTAAATACGCACATTTTAAAATACTTTCATTTTACATTTTGTTAAAGGGGTGAATTTATCGAAGCTTTATCCCTGATCAGGACGTTTTATGAAGCATTAAAGTATACTGACCACTAGATGGCGCGCTGAGACCGTTCATTGTATTCTTAAATTTTTAAAGCACAATTGTCTTAACACACTTTAGGCGGTTCGTGTGTTAACACACGTGTGTTTTAGTGATAGTATCCTTAAATGTAATAGTTTAATTGTTTCCTCGTTGCATTGCTTCTCAGCCTCACTATAAAATACCAACGAATCAAAGTCTACTTCTCAGTCAAAATGAAAGTAATGATATTCTATTTGAAATCATAACTTTATTCCACATTAAGCTCTTATGCAAGAAGTCATCAGATCTTTGATCCCTTGCACAATAAAAGTGTGTCCCATCCAGTGACTCTCTATAAGACGCGGGTAGAGTGCCAAGTTCAGAGGTTTACTTAAAACAGGTTGGGTGGAAATACTCTTAGCTCGAAACAGGTAGAAAAATAACATCTATGGACATAGGACTGCGGCCGATTGTCGCTGCTGACCTAATTATTCAGCGTATGTGGACAGGACTTTAACTTGGTGGATGCGGGGCACCCAGCAGGTCACGTGACTGTAGAGCCCCACCCTCAGTTTAAAACAGAAAGCACCGAGGAATCTGTGGTAAAAAAAAAAAAAAAAAAAAAAAAGTTTCACCGAACAGACTTGCTTTGAGATTCAATCAGGACTGTCAGGCCAGCGAGGACAAGTTAACCGACGTCTACAGTTTTGGTGATACTTCTATCTTCGTCCACCATGAGCACTCAGGCCGCTGACAGCATACCTTGTCCAGCAGAAAGTGAGCAGGAGCAGGGTCAGTATGAAATATGGAAATGCTGTTGAGTTAAAAGTTTTTAGTTTAATGTTTTTATTCTATTTTTTGTATGTCTGTATGTATTTTTCCCCTGTGGGTGTAGTTGGTGTAGTTACTAACGCAGCATGTTCTTAAGCACGTGTCTACCCTTGTTCAGCTGACACATGTAGAAAGAAAAAGAGAGCAGTGTGAGTCATACTGGTGCTTTAGCTGAGCTGTTGGCTACTGCAGTTTATAGGGCTTGTTTCAGATGTTTGAAGATGGAAGCCAATATATACAATATGACATTACAATGGGGAGAAAACAAAACCAGATAATATAATTAATATCTGTTAATTTTTTTTACAGTACTTTAATAAAAATAAAATTCCAAAATGGCAGTGACTCTTTTTATCTGCTTTCTTCCTGTAAGTGTGTGTGTTTAATTAACACACCTACACCAAGTTAGCCAACAGTGATTTTGAGATGTGTAATTAAGCTACAGTACTGTTAGCCTCTAATGTTCATTTAATGTCTCCATCTCATTCTCGTGCTCCTTATTCCCACTTTTGTAGAGGTCACCTAAGGTCATTCAGCCCCCTTTCTTTACTGGTGGTCTAACCTGTGAAAAGGTTGTGAAACATAATATCAGCATTGGATATTGTTTATCATTATCACACTCTTAAAAGTAAAAAACTAGGTTAACACATATTAGTTAAAATAAAGTATGCATTCTGTCAGAGAAAAAAATTATTTGCTGGAGTAATATAATGTTATGAAACATGATAGTTAGTGATCCGCAGCCTTTTCATTTGAGCTAAAAACAGTTCATTTAATTATAGGCTATTTATAAACAGAATACCTTTAACCCACACAAGATGATGCAACAGACCTTAAGACCTTCATTAAGGGCCTGCATAGAAACATTTCCAATGTTTTGGAAATTTTCATCACATGAATGGTTGACCTCTGATGACCTCTAGAAACCTTTATTAATATATTTAAAATGATAGTGGCACAAAAGAAAATTTTTGCAGCGCAAACGTTTGACACCATTCTTGTTGCATTTGAAGAAGGTGGGATGGGTGTTTTTGAGCAAGTTGCATCTCAATCATAGACTTTCAGTCTCCAACAACAGGACTAAGCTTAAAACCCGGTTCTTTGCCAACAAAGCAAATAATTTTGATAAACTGTACCAGTTCTGCAAAGAAGAGCGGTTAAACATTATGCCACACACTTGTTGATGACTACCAGAAGTTTCTGGTTGAGGTACAACTTGTTAACAAAAGATTAGTAGGCATCTATTTTCTGAAAAAGTAAGATAAGAAAAAAATATTTCAAAAGGCATATAAAAACAAAACAAGCCACAAATGGTAACATGAGACAACATACAGTGTATTACTTTACTTTTTATTTTATTCATCAACAAATGGCAAAATGCTTTGCATTTGCCACAATGGAAGAACATAATAAAAAAGTTCATACTGTTTGTGCCCTGGGATGCAACAGTCTGGGCTAATATGTGAAAGCCACGAATTTCTACAAATAAACAATAATAATATCAGAAGTCAGAATGAAGGGCACAACAACTTTCATGAACTCTGAATAGTGTTTAAAAATGCTTTTTGTTGGGTTGACAGAGCCGTTGAGGATCATGCTTCTTGGAAAATGTGGTGTAGGCAAGAGCTCGAGTGGGAACACCATCCTCAATAAAATGGTGTTCTGTTCAGAGATGAAGCTGGTCGGCATCACTGTTCACTGTGAAAAAGAGTCCGCGGTGGTTGGAGATGTACCTGTCCATGTGATTGACACACCTGGGCTTTTCGAGAAGGGAAGCAACAAGGAGGACATCATCCGAGAGATTCTTCAACGCCTGAAACTCCAGGAACCAGGGCCGCACGTCTTTGCATATGTTATTCCTTTAGGAAGGCTGACTCAGGAAGACCAAGACACCCACACGCTGATTGAAGCAAAGTTTGGCCCAAGAGTGTGGGACTACACCATCGTGCTGTTCACCCACGGGGATCGCCTGGAAGACAAAACAATAAACAACATCATTACTGAGAGTGACGAGAACCTCCGCAACTTCATACGCAAGTGTAGCGGTGGCTTCCACGTCTTCAACAACAAAACCCCGGAGGACCAGAAGCAGGTCACAACTTTTATGGAGAAGATCGAGACCCTGGTGGCCCTGAATGGAGGTAGTTACTACAATACAGAGCTGTATCCTGAGAAGGAGAGGGAAATCAGAAAAAGACAGGAAAGCATCCTTGCAGAGAGAGATGAAGAAATCAGCAAAAAGGAGGGAAATCTGAGGGAGCATTACAAGGGTGAAGAGCTAAAGAAGATGAAGACAAATCTGTGGAGAAAAGAGGAGGAAAGGGCAAGAAAAGATGCAGAGGGGGAGTTGTACAGCAAGTCCTACCTCATGAAGAGCATCCTGTTACTGGCTGTATTGTGTCTACTGTTATGTTGCTATCTTGGGGTAGCAGCTAAATGGCTTTGTGTTATAGGAATCATTTTGATTGTGGTGTTTTTGAAGACATTTCCAATTATTCCAGGAAAAATTCCAGGTCTTTCTAAGAAAAAGAAATAGATGAGCTTTTACTGTGTTAGTGATTTATCATTCAAATGTGTGACAGATGATATATCGAACTGATTTAATTAACAAAAATAATTTTCATACATATTTGTCTGTCCATAGTTAGAAAATATAGTCATCTGATATCATCTCATTGATCTCATATTTAATCAGATAACAGAACTGTAAAAATGCTAATGAAAACAATATTTAAAGTACTACACAAAAGTCTCGGCCCACCACTTTTTCTTTATATTTTACTAGGAAAAAAAGTAAATGCAAGGATATGCGGACATATACATGGAAATACAATACAGAGTTTTAAAATCAATATTTGGTACGACCACTTTTTTTCTTCGACACAGTCTGAACTCTCTTATGCAGCTTTGTTCTCATTTCTTTAAGTAGTCTTCAGGAATAGTTCTGCAGGCTTCTTGAAGAATGTTTAAAGCTGTCTTTGGATGCTGACTGCTTTTTGTTCTGCTCTTTGTGAAGATGATCTCACACTGCTTCAATGAAGTTGAGGTCCAGACTCTGGGGAGCTCGGTCCATGACTGATAATGTTTTATTGTGTTTTTCTATCCAGTTATGCTTTTTCTGGAATAACAGTGTGTTTGGGATCATTGTCGTGTCATAAAATGAAGCACTGATTGACACATTGACACATGATGGATCAAATCTGATGGTACTTTTCTGTGTTCAAATTTCAAATGATTTAACTCAGGAGTTTCACTTTTGGATTCATTCATATGACTAGTTGCCACTGATTTTCCATTTGTCCAGTTGTTGTGTAATTTGGCATACCTTATTCTTTTTTAGATTTTTTTTCCTTCTTTAAAAACTACATCTTGACAGCCATCTTTTCTACCGAGACCATTCCTGATGTGGTTTCAGTGAACAGTAGATCTCTCAGGTCGTGTGTCCAGCTTGGAGCTGAAAATATATATATATATATTTTGCTTGGAGCATAGCTGAGCCACTGTGTGAGAGCTGAGCAGCGAAAGGAAATTAAGTGAGGAGCCGGCTCTCGCTCAATGGGAGTCGACTCTTTTGATTCACTACAAAGCACTCTGTAAGCACGGCTCTTAGAGGTGATGCTTTTGTGCATGACACATTATTGAACGTTATGTTGTGTGTCATGGATACTGTTGACTCCAATTCTCCCGACCACTATGTCGAGCTGAGACAGCAAGACCAAGACAAGACCGAGGGATCCTAGCCCAAGACAAGACCAAGACCAAAGTCCGTCGAGACAAGACAAGACCAAGACCACGTGGTCTAGAGACCAAGACTGGTCTCGAGACATCCAACTCTAGTACCGAGCATCCTCTGGTATTAACGTGATAGCGTTCCATAATGTAAAAGTGAAAACGTACAGGCTCTGAAATGTACTCAAAGTATGAAAGTAAAAATAATCTCCTTAAAGCACAATTCAATTAATCACATTTGTACAAAGGTAACTGAACCATGGTATATTATATTAATCTAAGAATAAAATACAGTTAGTACATGATAATAAAACATTTTCGGATTTAATTCTGATGGATGTGCTTTAAATGCAGTGAAAAAGAATTTAAAAAAATAACTATTTTCTGTTCTGATTGTGGGTGAAAGTAAAATGAGTACAGTCAGGGTTTAAAGTGAAACTCAGTAGGTGAGTCTGTGTAGTGGCTCAGCATAGGTGAAAGAACCACACAATCATTTCTAATCAGCACACTGTACTGCCACAGTTTTTCAATAGTTTTTCTACTATAAAACTTGTAAAACTCAGCTTCTCTTTTTTTTCTTAGAAGAGGCAATGATGCATATAAATAGTTTTTAAGTGTTTTTGTGGATATTTTGTTAATTCCATTTACATATAGGAGAATTTCACCTACTTCACTGAAGAGGTGTGCCATCCTGCCTAGACATCTTGCCCCTCCTTTACTATTACTATTAAATAAATTAACTCCTAAATAACTAAAAGGCAAGATTTATGAAGTTATCATGGGCCAATTCCGACCGGTCACAACAGTTCATTTTACATAAAAAAAAAAAAATTAAACCGGACTAAACACATTATAGTTCAGAGGTTGCTCAGATGAAGAAACTTTCGCTCAGTTTATTTGAAACCTATACTCCTTTAATGTGAATGTATCTTGTTACATGGATATGGAAAGAAATATCCATAGGCATAGCACAAACGTAACGTGTAAAACTGAGACATACAAGCTTCCAGACGTTTCTTTTCTAAATAAACAGAATAGCTCTTGGCCACTTTACTAGAAAACATAGATTTACCAATTACAGACACTCACCTGTTACACACTCAAATGTCCTTAGTTATTTATTATGCTAACATTAATGTTAGCCTGCTTTAAGTAGAGAAAGGTCAATTAACATCAGTGTTATTCCACGTTACCTGGATCATATTTATATTCAGAAATATAAAGAGATTAGTTAGCATATGTTTACTCCAGAGGATGATCCACAGTGATGTGCATCCATTGTGTTCTGCAACCGCGCATTGACTGACTTTTCCCAGCGGAAGCTCGTCCAGCATGCAGCAGCAGATTATTATATAGGCAACTGTGTACTGTCTGTAATTGGTAAATTATATTTTCTGCTGTATTTAGAAAAAGGGACGACCACTTTATTTGAATAAATAAATAAACAAAATGCAGGTATACGGAGGAACCTCAAATGTCCCAGTTTTACACTAGGACATGAACACAGCTGGCAGTGTGAAGTTTGTCTCAAAATTATACATATTATACACATTTGTAAATCATACCGTACGTGCACTTGCCCTTTTTTAGGTTTCTCTCCATATATAAATAGCGACTGTGAATGTCAGTTTAAATCGTCTTACCTGTAAAACTTGCCGTCTTTACCGGAAGTCAATGTACACACCTTAACGACTGGGCGTGTTTATTTTTTCCAGTGTAACTGAAAAGTTAAGTTTCATTTTCCTGTTCTGGAACAACATCTGCTATCTAGTCGGCGACAGAGGTAAGTCCCTATTCTGGTGTTTCGCCTCTCTTTTTTTTTTAAGTAATATATAGTGTTTTTATGCATGGATAACGGATGTATGATTGCTAGAACTTATGCACAGATGTGCTGTCTGTTTGCTCTCCTGTGGTTTCTGATGTTATAGACCTTAGTGTTACTGTAATTACAGAATGTAACTTTGTTTATACATATACATGCACACACACACACACAGACACACACACATATCTATATAAGGGGCATTTGTGTATACAGTAGATTTGTTGATTTGGATAGTGATAGCAGTTAAGTCTAAACGGCTAAGCTATATGGATAATATGGGTAAAAGTACGTGGTAAGAGTCTTCATCTTTGTATTCAGATGTTTTCAGTCTCATTGCCTAGGCAGGCAGTTTTTCCTTCCTTCCTGTCACCCACAGAGGAACAACAGAATTACTTACAATTAGATTAAAATGTTAAAAGCTAATAGAAAATGCAAGATTTATCTCATATAAAAAGTGCCACATATAGTGTGGTGCATATATTTGAAAAAAAACAAAACTTTTTATTTATCTGTTTTGATAGATTAAAATTACAAAATGGAAGAAGGAAGAACTAGCCTGAAGAAAAGAAAGAGAGTCACGGATGAGAAAGATGACAAGAGTAAGTCCTTCGGGTCATTTTACCCTGAAGATCTATTTATTTAAAATATATTTCTGTGTACGCAGTAGAATTTTTCTGAAGCTGTTGATGTTGCAGGCTATAATGAGACATGGCAGTTTTGAGGGTACTTCCTATTCTCTATTGTCCTCCTAGTTGTTAAATGCATATATATGATATATATGCCTAAATGAAACTGCCTTTCTTTTGTTCCTTCAGATAAAGACATGCATAATTACATTAAAATTATCTTACGTGATTGCATGATTTTGGCAGATATGGCTGACCCTCTCTGTGCCTGGTTCTGCTCGAGTCTTCTTGTTAAAAAGTTTTTCTTTGCCACTGTCACCAAAGTGCTTGCTCATAAGGGGTTATCTGATTTTTGGGGTTTCCTCTGTATTATTGCAGGGTCTGTACCTTCCAATAGAATGCATTGAAGTGACTGTTGTTGTGATTTGGTGCTATATAAATAAAACTGAATTGAATTATAAATATTTGCATTATCACAACTATTACAATGAAAGTAGGAAATACTCCCACAACTGGCATCTCTCTTTATACAACCTCTACAATTGCAAATTATTAGTACATTGTAAATTGACCATGAAAATACATTTATGTTATTTTTTTAATGGAGAAATTACTTCTTCCTTTTTTTTTGGTGTTGCAAAAAACAGACCTCTGGCGTGTAAAATGTGGAGACAAAAAGGGTTGGATGGATGTAGAGAAGTTGAGAAAAGGTAAGTACAGTCTTACCTTTCTTACCAGTCTTACCAGTCTTTCCTTTTTCTATTTTTGTACATACAGTGAAATATATAAATCAATAAATAAATAAAGAATTTTTCATTAAAACGATTACGTTTTTCGTCATAACTATAGGTAAGGATTGTATTGAGTTTGAAGGCTCCTTTTACAGTCCACCTGAGTTTGAGAAGCTTGCAGGAAAAGATTCATGTAGAAAATGGAAGTCATCTATTTACCACAAGAAAGCTCCTCTGCACTTTTGGTTCAAGGTACTTTTTTTTTTTTTTTTTTGCATTTCTGTGAATCTACAAAAATCTGATTTCACTAAATAAACTGTTGAATTAACTTATCACAGAGAGGTGATCTAACCACTACAGGATATAGACAAAAAAAAAGAAAACGACAATCATCAGACCTTGAGTCCCAGGACCTCTTAACAGGTTTGTCTGCTCTTTCTTCTATCTGTGCCTCAAAACCAGAGAATGTTTGAGAATATGAACCAAAAGCATGCAAACATTATTGTAATATTTTTAATAAGCTCTTTCAAAACTTCAGTAGTTTTGACAAATACCCTACAGAAGTTGAGAAAAAAAGAGTTGCAATTCTCTTTATCTCGGCCTCCAACTTTCCCTCATCCAACCCCTGCAACTTGTCCAAAATGCTACAGCACGTTTTTTAAGCGGTACCAGAAAACCTGATCATATTACACCTGTCTAAGCCAACCTTCACTGGCAAATACCGTATTGTTTTTGAAATCCTTTTGTACACTTTTAAAATTTTAAATAACTTGGCGCCCAGCTACTTAATCGACCTCCTTGACCTATATACCCCCAAGAGAGCACTTAGATCCTCTAATCAGTGGCTCTTAGTGCAACCAATGTCCAGATGAAAGACTAGGGGGCATTGTGCTTTTGCTATTGCTCCACCTAAACTTTGGAATAGCCTGGCGATTGATGTCCGTCCATCGGAATCCATTCAATATTTCAAGTCACGTTTAAAAATCCACCTGTTTAAGCTAGCCTTTGAAACAAATTCGATTTTAACTTCTACCCGTATCAAGTTTGTGCCACGCCACCTACCTTTAACTATTCCGTAATGATAATTGTATTTTTTTTGTTCTTCTATTGTTGTAATCCCGCAATACAGCACTTGTGTGAAAATTGAATTGAAACTGAGAAAAAGTTACAAAAATCTCAGTTTACGTTGTTATATTTTAAACATTTCCATTTCTTGAAAGAATATTAGAAGGAAGTTCATAATGAAGATGTCATGGTCCGGAGTCTGTGACTCTGTGTTTATGTTTTAGTTCATTATTATTCTGTGGTTTTGGGTACCTTGGGTGTTTGTACTCTTCTGTTTCATGGTTCATGTTCCTATGTTCTGTGTCCCCCAGTCTGTGTTAAGTTGGTGTGTTATGTCATTACGTGTATGTGTTTCCTGTTTTACTTTGAAGGTCCATGTCTGATCTCAGTGTGTTCAGGTTACTTTTCCCCTGTCTTGTCAGGTCGGATTACTCCCAGCTGTGCCCTCCTTTTGTGTCTCATTCCCTCGTTATCCTTCTGTGTATTTAAACCTCGTGTCTGCCTCTGTTAGTTGCTGGTTTGTCTGTGTTGTTCCCCTCGGTCTTCCTGCATCTCGCTGTCCGTCTCTCTGTGTATTTCCCGTACCTCCCTGCATCTTCGTTCTGGTTTGTTTTGTTAGTTTTGCCCAGTTTAGGTTTTCCAGTTTAATGTTCACCTGCCACTTCTGTTTGTATCTACTCCTGTTCAATAAATACTCACCTGCATCAGAGCTGCTGCATTTTGGGTCCCATCTTCAACTCCACACGTCCGCCACCCCGGACACGACAGAAAATGAGGATGGAGAAGAGGATGATGAGGATATGGATGAAGATGATGTATGGGCAGATAAATGGGAAGATAAAGAAGCTACACAGATTTCTATCTCTTCTTCTGAAGAAGAGAGTGAGGAAGATCATGTTAAAGATATAGATGACGATGGAGAAGAGGAAGATGAGGATATAGATGCAGTTGATGTCGGTAACGATGAGCCAAGCACTGAGGAAGATGAGGATGAAGAAAGTGATAATGATGAGGATGAGACTGTGCCTGCTGTTGCCTCTAACCATACTGGCAGCAGTGGTATCATAGGTGACATTTCCAATATATTTCTTATTGGTATGTTTGGATAACAAAGACCTTGTTTGTGTATGAAAATAACTCTTCCTCTTTTTTCAGCGAGTGTAACACCTATGATGAAAGAAGTAAAGGGTATTGTTAACATCCCTCCTGAGGCAAGACAGATTATTTTATTTAAATGATTCACTGTGCTTTACATTGCTGGAAGTTTTGAATATGTCACTGATCTGAGATTACTCTACACCAGCACCGTCATTAAGCTAGAAATGTGGCAAATACTATGGTTCAGCATGACATACAAAATTACAAATGTATGCTTTACCCAATACAGTCCAATTATTCATAATAAATACTAAAATATTCTTCATTGTTTTTAAAACAGAAGAGTACACATCATCCTGACATGCCAAGATCTGAAGTCATTGGAAATAACAGAGATGTGGCACAAAACACAGCAATCAAACAGCTGAATGTTAAGAAACAACCTGAAGAGAAACTGAGTGAGTTGTTCAAACACTAAAAGCACTTGATTTACATTTTTACATTTACAAATGTTTTAGCACATGTGTCCACACGGATAACTACTATAGTAGTTTTGTTTGCAGTTTGAATAAGTATTATTTACTTTCCAAAAGACACTAAACAGCCATTTTATTTGGTACACCTGTCCCATCCATCCATCCATCCATCCATCCATCTTCTTCCACTTATCCGGGGCCGGGTCACAGGGGCAGCAGCCCAAGCAGAGAAGCCCAGACCTTCCTCTCCCCTGTCACCTCCTCCAGCTTGTCTGGGAGAACACCAAGGCTTTCCCAGGCCAGCCAAGAGATATAATCTCTCCAATGTGTCCTGGGTCTGCCCCGGGGCCTCCTCCTGGTGGAACATGGCCGGAACACCTCACCCGTCTAGGAGGCATCTTTGTCAGACACATGAACCACCTCAGCTGGCTCCTTTCGATGTGAAGGAGCAGCTGCTCTACTCTTAGACTCTCTTTCGTAGCCTTCTGCTACTTGGCTGTACCTAGAAATTCTGTCCATAAAAATTACAAACAGAATCAGTGACATCACCCACAGGAACGAGTGCAACTTATTACCGGCTATGCGGACAAACCTCTTGCAACGGTTGTATCAGGATTGAATGGCGGGTAGCAATGGGCCAGACACCCCATATTCCCGGAGTACCCCCCACAGGTTACACAGAGGGATATGGTCGAATGCCTTCTCCAAGTCCACAAAACACATGTAGACTGGTTGGGCAAACTCCCATGCACCCTCAAGTATCCTTGAGAAGATAAAGAGCGGATCCAGTGTTCCACAACCAGAACAAAAATAGCATTGTTCCTCCTGTATCCAAGGTTAGACTAAAGGACAGACTCTCCTTCCAGCACCATGGCAGAGAGCTTCCCAGGTAGGCTGAGGACTGTGATCCCCCTATAGTTGGAGCACACCTTCCAGTTCCCTTTCTTAAAGATGGGAACCAACTCGGTCTGCCAGTCCAGGGGTACTGCCCCTGATCTTCATGCAAAATTGTAGAGGCATGTCATCTACAACATCCAGAGCCTTCAGTAACGTGTGGCAGACCTCGACCACCCTAGGGGCTCTGCCACCAAGGAGCTTTTTGACTTCCTCAGTGACCTCGCCCCCGGACATTGGCAACTTCGAGGAAGTCCTCGAAGTATTCCTTCCACCGCCCGACAATTTTCACAGTCAGCAGTGCTCCACCTGCACTATACACAGTGTGGGTAGAGCACCACTTTCCCCCCCTAAGTGACCTGACGGTTTGCCAGAATCTGTTTGAGGCGGTCTGAAAGTCTTTTTCCATGGCCTCTCCGAACTCCTCCCAGACCCAAGTTATTGCTTCAGCTACTGCCTGCACCGCATTCCACTTGGCCTGTCGGTACCTGTCAGCTGCCTCCGGGGTCCCACAGGCTAACCAAGCCCGATAGGACTCCTTCTTCAGCCTAGTGGCTCCCTTCACCTCTGTTGTCCACTGTTTGGTTCGGGGGTTACCACCACAACAGGCACCAACCACATGGCGGCCACAACTCACTGCAGCGGCTTTGGCTGTGGAGATGCTGAACATGGTCCATTCGGACTCAATGTCCCCAGTCTCCCTTGGAATGCTGTTGAAGCTCTGCCAGAGATGTGCGTTGAAGATCTCGCGGACCTGGGCCTCTCCTAGACGTTCCCAGCACACCCTCACTATACGTTTAGGTGTGCCAGGTCCGAGTGTCCTGAACATATGGCCTTAGGTCTGGTGATACGATTACAAAATCGATCATCGACCTGCGGCTTAGAGCATCCTGGTGCCATACTTATGGACACTCTTATGTTTGAACATAGTGTTCATTATGACCAAACTGTGGTTTGCACAAGAGTCCAACCTCAAAACACTGCTCGGGTTCAGATCCAGGAGGCCGTTCCTCCCAGTCACGCTCCTCCAGGTCTCTCTGTCGTTGCCCACGTGAGCATTGAAGTCTCCCAGTAGGACAACAGCTGTCCAGTTGCTCATTAATGAAAATATCTAATCAGCCAATCACATGACAGCAACTCATTGAAGACATGGAGACATGGACCAGATGATCTGCTGAAGATCAGACTGAACATCAAACTAATTCTAATAATCCCAAAGTGCACATGCTCATATTTTAATTACTTTTCTTTTTTCAGAGAAGACAACAACAAGCACAATTTCAATACCTGGGAAACTTGCCCTGAAGATTAAAGAAGCTTATGGTATCGTTAATAGCCTTCCTGAGGTAAGATGGAGGAAGTTTCTTCAAAATATTTTACAGCACGTTACAGTGCTGGTAGTTTCCACCCTCATGAAAATACAGCTGATTCAAAATTACTTTTATCTTTTAATCCAGCATTGTCCTTTTTTTTTTTTCTTTTTTTTTTGGCCTGTCCCCAGCCTTGCCGTGTTGGTCTATTTGATTCACCTTTGCTTTTATTGTTTATTTTATTTTATTTTCACTTGCTAAACATGGGACAGACTTGACTGGGGGAAAAAAAGGGGGAGAAAGAAAGAGGGAAAGAAAAACAGCGGGGAAGAGGAACAGAGATAAAGGGCAAAAAACAAAAACCAACAAAATAAGCAGACAAAAAACACATATCAATCACCTGGATCACCTGTTGAGAAAGGAAAAAGAGAAAACAAGCAAAAAAAAAGTGCAATATAATAAACAACATCATCGCGATGATCTATGTGAATATAACAGTAAATACTAAATATTAAACGTTATTGTGCAGCACGTAGGATCGACAGCACAGAGTGTGCTTTGAGGTAGGAGCCAAAAGGGGTGTAGTTTGTGTGTGTGAGCACCCGTGTGTACACCTGTGAGCATGAGCGCGCTTCTATGTAACAGGTTCCTTCATGTAATGATCTGCTAGAGGGAGTGTGGGGAGCCACAGCCCCGTCCTCCAGGGCATGAAGCAGGTATGGAGGAGATCAAGACTCCAGACATCCAGAGGCCCCCAGAACACAAGAGACCAAGGAAGACCAACAGAGGGGCAGCCGCGCCACTGTCCCCGAACGAGCTGAGGAGAGTCCCAGATGAGGGGTCACTCAGCAGCCGTGACGCAGAAGCCAGGGGGGGTTGCAGTGACGTGCCCGTGAGCTCCGCCGGCAGCCAGCTGCGCCAGAGTGACCGAGCCCCAGGCCGAGAGGCCGAGGGCACCGCACCCCTGAAGTGGCCCGAGTGAGCCCCAGGCTCCAGGCCCCTACAAGCAGCCACCAGGAGTGAGCCGGTGCGTACCTGGATGCCAATCCCCGGGCACAAAGAAGCACCAATGCACCAATGTCTGAGGGCATCTGCCACTGGCCTGAGATGTCCCCAGAGAGGTGGCGTCTGATACCCAACCTGACATATAGACACAAACAAACAGGCACACACAGATACAAACATCCATTCCCACCCTCATGCTCTCATATGCAATTACTCAGCACTCACCCAACGTGGAGACAGACATAAATAGACACTGTACACACAATCACACTCCCCAAGCGTACTCTAAGCCCCAGATCTAGGTACCCTTGCCCCTGGAGGGGGAAACTGCGCCCAGACCCAGGTAGTGTTACCTTTTTCCCTGGGGTGGAGAGAAGCAGGAATAGTTCTCCAGGCTTTTTGAAGGACATTCAAAGCTCTTCTTTGGATGTTGGCTGCCTTCTGTTCTGTTCTCTGACAAGATGATCCCACACTGCTTCACTAATGTTGAGGTCAAAGCTGTGGGGCGGCCAATCCATGACGGACAGTGTTCCATTGTGTGTTAAAGATATTTCTAATTTATTTTCAACCAATGCCTCACACTTGAACATGTGTTTCAAACGGATCTTGTTTAAAATTGCTTTCAAAATAAAACTGTCCAACTTGAGGTGAATGTTTTTATGGTTTGGTGCTATATGAATAGAAATTGATTAAATTGAATTTTGCTCAAAATGATTTTCATAATAAAACTTCATATTATTTTCCTGATCTACTTTTACTCCATCCAAACTTACCTTTCATAAGAAATTATAAATAAGGGTACTAATGTATAATTGACTATCTTTGCACCAGAAGACTAGACATCATCCTGACACGACAAGATCTGAAGTCAGTGGAAATACCAGAGATGTGGCAACAAACACAGCAATCAAACAGCTGAATGTTAAGAAAGAACCCCAAGAGGAACTGAGTGAGTTGTTCAAACACTAAAAGCACTTGAATGTTGAAATTCTATTTTGCGCATTTTTTGTAGAAGTAGTAGAAATTCGGTTGCAATCTATTTTCTTTGCTCTTCTATTGTCTGCTGTTCCTTCTATCATACCCCCAAACCAGAGAACTGTGGAAAATATTAATCAAAAGCATGCAAACATTGTAGTATTATTTTTAATCAGTTGTTTTAAAACCTTTAAAAATATACCAAGGAAGTTCAGAAAAAGGAGTATGCATTAGCTCAGAACTAGTTATGAAAATCTCAGTGTACATGGTAATATTTTAAACATTAATATCCCTTTTGTACAAGAACACAAGGAAGATCGTGTTAAAGATCAAGATGAAGATGAAGAACAAGAAGATGAGCACATGGATGAAGATGTTGTTGGTGATGATGAGCCTAGCACTGAGGAAGATGAGGATGAAGAAAGTGATAATGATGAGGATGAGACTGTGCCTGCTGTTGCCTCTAACCATACTGGCAGCAGTGGTATCATAGCAGACTGACAGAAGCGAGGCTGCCATATCGCACTATCAGCCCCTCTAGCCATCACCAGTAGGCGGTAGGTGAAGTGTCTTGCCCAAGGACACAACGACCAAGACTGTCTGATTACAAGACGAACTGCCAACTCTTGAGCCACGAACGCCCCAAATGTACTAAAATATTTGTAAATGCTGACATAAAGTAAGAAAAGCTCTTAAAGGACAACCTTGAAACTTGTAGAAAATAGACTGAAACTGTTTTTCTTCTACTTCAACAAAAAGTACGCAAAATAGAAGCTCAACACAATATTCAAGTGCTTTTAGTGTTTGAATAACTCACTCAGTTTCTCTTCAGGTTCTTTCTTAACATTCAGCTGTTTGATTGCTGTGTTTTGTGCCACATCTCTGTTATTTCCACTGACTTCAGATCTTGGCATGTCAGGATGATGTGTACTCTTCTGTTTTAAAAACAATGAAGGATATTTTAATATTTATTGTGAATAATTGGACTGTATTGGGTAAAAGCTTACATTTGGAATTTGTTTTGTATGTCAAGCTGAACCATAATATTTGCCACATTTCTAGCTTAATGACGGTGCTTGTATAGAGTAATCTCAGATCAGTGACATATTCAAAACATCCAGCAATGTAAAGTACAGTAAAATATTAAAATAAAATAATCTGTCTTGCCTCAGGAGGGATGTTAACCATACCCTTTACTTCATATTCTTGTAAACTAGGCGCTATAATTATGGCAATGAAACTAATATAAACAGGTTTAGGCCCACATCAGGCTAGTAGTTTGATAGCAATTCTGATCTGTAATCAACATACATCTTTATTGGCAAGACCAGTTGTTAGTGTGTTCTTATTACAACAAATCCAAATTTTTCTTTATTTTATAAGATATTTAAAATAATCCATATTATAAAAGGAACAGATTACTCTCAGAGTAGAAGGACGGGGAACCCATCCCTCCCCCCCTGAAGCTAGTAATGTAAGTAGACGGGTATTTTATTTTTGTTTATTCCCCATATAAGAGGTGGTAGGACCGGATGGATATCTCTATATTATTGTACCTTAGCCGCAACTTTCAAGCTTATCTGTAGTATTTGGCAGACCATTGCATTGACGACTGACGTAAGTAGTTCTTCATTTCCGTTAACATCTAGCCCAAAATTTATCATCTCGTTTCATCTTCAGAGATTTTATACCCTCATCGCTTCCGTTATCCTAGTGCCCTATGAAAAGGCTCATCTTGAGTCACCAAGCACCACACTACATAATAAACGTATTCACACTGTATGACCTCATCTTTTATCCTTGTTCAATTTCATATATTGTCTTATATCCATGTCATCTTGAATACTTTTAACAAAAATATAGCCTGGTACTTACGCTAGATTTTCTTTTGACCATAAAAACAAAATCATAAGATAAGTTAACTTTTGTAAAAACCTAACATAAGACGGTTACCGCGAAGTTTATTAATCTCACGTTCCTCCCAAAAATATTATTGGAATTTACCAGATAGAACTACTGGAGTGATATGTTAATTGTGTCGTAAGGTATTGACCATTGTTAGATATTTGCTTTCTTGTGGCCAAATATATGAATCAGGAGCATTGGCATACTCTTAAATCCCTTCTCGAAACGTGTACCAAATAAAATAGAACAGACATACCCCTTATCCCCCTCTTCTCCATACCCCACCCAAGTGTTTGATTCTGAGATTTATTAATCATACTTTTCTCCTTTTTGAGATATTTTTATCAAATTAAAATGTACTGAACTTGAAATTTTGAGTAAGTTGTCCTACAAGCAAATAGTCAGTTTTATTTTAGGCCAGGCTAGATGAAAGTTTCAACCACAAATTCTAAAAACATTGGAAAGTTCCTGTAATGTTGTTTCTGTGATTTATTGTCGGTTAAGATAAGACCTGAAGAATAGAGAGGGAACAGGCCAATTTCTGTATTGTGAGACAATAGGTTAAGTAGCGAGGAGAAAACTAAACCGTATTTATAGTATATTCTTTTATCTTCCTTAAACTTGATATAAATTAATACCTATACAAATAACTATTCAATAAAAAATTAAATGCGTATTTATAAGTGCCCAGCTTAAATTACATAATTCTTTACGAACTCTTATAGATGATATTCAAACCAACTTACTTCAGTTCAATTATGTGTGTTTTGAGGTTTCTTTATAAGATTATGTTAATATTGATTTCAACTTCACACCAAAAGCCTCAAAACTTCACAAAGCATTTCCTTCTTTAGTGGTGGATTTCTTCCCTGTCCCCATACATCTCTTCACTATCTCAGCTCGCTATCTCTACCTCGTCTTTTGTGCAAGCATATAGTCGCGCCTCTGTGCTATCTATGGGTCTGCCTGTAACATCCTCTGGTGCTAGACTCTTCCACTCAGATACAGAGCTTCACAGACCCAGACTCTCCTTCCCTTGTCGAAATCCGGTCTGTCCAGAAGATGGGATTTCTAAGGTACTATCTGACTTGCCATAGCAAAGAGCATGGTCAATTTATTCCCAACCATGGACTCAAGCCTCACATAAAGGTAAATCTTTGCTATAATCTCCTAACTTTATTGAGACAGTTCTGAGAGTCTTGTTTGGAGTGCTGAGTTTTCAGAAAGGGTGCAGATCCAGTGGTCCATAGAGGTATGTAAAATAAATGAGCAGTCCCCGATTTATCTATTAACCCGGAGACCAATTCAGGGATAGGGAATATCAGTTTTAGTGACCCGCAACAATACCCCATTCATAAAGATATTAAAAGTCCCTCACCCACCCCTTCCTCCAATTCACAGGTGGACTGGGCCACACGCAAGTCCAACATAAAATAACAAGCTAGACAATTACACTCTCTAAGTTGGACCCAGGTTTAATCCTTTGAAAAGCAAGTGCTTTTACCAAAAATCAAGAATTCACAGTTTGAATATTTTGAAAGCAATTTTAAACAAGATCCGTTTGAAACACATGTTCAAGTGTGAGGCATTGGTTGAAAATAAATTAGAAATATCTTTAACACACAATGGAACACTGTCCGTCATGGATTGGCCGCCCCACAGCTTTGACCTCAACATTAGTGAAGCAGTGTGGGATCATCTTGTCAGAGAACAGAACAGAAGGCAGCCAACATCCAAAGAAGAGCTTTGAATGTCCTTCAAAAAGCCTGGAGAACTATTCCTGCTTCTCTCCACCCCAGGGAAAAAGGTAACACTACCTGGGTCTGGGCGCAGTTTCCCCCTCCAGGGGCAAGGGTACCTAGATCTGGGGCTTAGAGTACGCTTGGGGAGTGTGATTGTGTGTACAGTGTCTATTTATGTCTGTCTCCACGTTGGGTGAGTGCTGAGTAATTGCATATGAGAGCATGAGGGTGGGAATGGATGTTTGTATCTGTGTGTGCCTGTTTGTTTGTGTCTATATGTCAGGTTGGGTATCAGACGCCACCTCTCTGGGGACATCTCAGGCCAGTGGCAGATGCCCTCAGACATTGGTGCATTGGTGCTTCTTTGTGCCCGGGGATTGGCATCCAGGTACGCACCGGCTCACTCCTGGTGGCTGCTTGTCGGGGCCTGGAGCCTGGGGCTCGCTTGGGCCCTTCGGGGGGTGCCCTCGGCCTCTCGGCCTGGGGCTCGGTCACTCTGGCACAGCTGGCTGCCGGCGGAGCTCACGGGCGCGTCACTGCAACCCCCCTGGCTTCTGCTCCGCGGCTGCTGAGTGACCCCTCATCTGGGACTCTCCTCAGCTCTTTCTGGGACAGTGGCGCGGCTGCCCCTCTGTTGGTCTTCCTTGGTCTCTTGTGTTCTGGGGGCCTCTGGATGTCTGGAGTTTTGATCTCCTCCATACCTGCTTCATGCCCTGGAGGACGGGGCTGTGGCCCCCCCACACCCTCTAGCAGATCATTACATGAAGGAACCTTTAAAAAACAAGCGCGTCCATGCTCACAGGTGTACACACGGGTGATCACACCCACAAACTACACCCTTTTTGGCTCCTACCTCAAAGCACACTGTGTTGTGTTGATCTTATGTGCTGCACAATAATGTTTAATATTTAGTATTTACTGTCATATTCACATATATCATTGTGATGTTGTTTATTATATTGACACTCTTCTATCTATCTATGCTTTTTATCCTACCTTAAACTCTAATTAATCTATTTGTCGTGCTCACTATACTTCAACATTGTCTCCCTCCCCAGCGAATGATTAATAAAATATGATTGTCGTTTGTCTGCTGAATTATATTTTTGTTTTGTTATGATTAATGATTTGCCCTATTATCTCTGTTTCTCCTCCCCGTGTTGTTTAAATTTCCCACTTCTTCTTATTGCTCCCATGTTTTTCCTCTAGTTCATAGTCTTTGTCTCCATGTTTAGCAAGCTGAACTAATTAATATAGTTAAAAAAACATAGTCAATACTGCAAAGGAAATCCAAATTTTAGCCGAGGACGCGCACATGGGAACGATGTCTCGACTAGGTCACACAACTAGAAGACATATACATAAAAAGCTATAACGACAATAGACATATATTAAAGATCACTTATGACATAAGTTTAACTACCTTTATAGTTTTTAGAATTCACTCATTCTTCCATCCTGCGTAGAATATATCTTATGTTCAGCTCGGCTAATCGGTGCTGTGAGTCCAAATCGATCATCCCCTTTATGTATAGAAACATTCAACTGGCCATCGAGGATAGAGCTACATTATCCAAAAAATCATTATCCAAAAAGCTTACTGATGCAAGCTTTCAACTTAGCACTCGGATGCCCAGGGGCAGTATCGATGTTACCCAGGTATGCTAAAATTGTGCAATTGTCGTGAATCATACTGTGCTTACCTAATATAAGTAACAAAATAATTCATAAGTGTAAAATTATGAGCATCGACACCTGTGGCTCATATTAGAAATTAGTCTTGCCAATGTTTCAGTATCTCGAATCTTCAACTTAGAACTCTATTCTGAGATTCCATGTCATACCCATGACTGTCTCAATGCGTTGCTCATGATGATTTTGCTTATTAACCCTATTCTTACATTCTCAGCAACCTGCACAGCTATGTCCTATCTGGTAGATGTCGTTAATCAGCCATGCCACGTGGTGCAACGATAGACAGCATTGGAGAGAGATCGTGATGTTATTAATTTGTATTCTGGGGGTAGAAAAGGAGCCCGGGTTGGGGAGGGGGCGGTAAACGGTGGAGGACAGCTAGTCCATACGGACAACCTTATTATGTCGGGAGGACGTTTTGTTTTTTTTTTTTTTGTTCCTCGGACTGTATCACTTTGATAGTATCATTTTTTCAATTTTTTTTTCGACATAAGGATCATAATCCTGGATCCGTGGCTCCATAGTCTTAACCCCCCCCCTGTGTGTTTATTTGAAGCCAGGGACTTTAGATTCCCATTAGTTCATCTTTATGGGGGAACCCACAAACGTCTTGGGTCATAGTATGAACACTGAGGTGTTCATAAGGCGATGATTTTTTATGACCTCTGGTGTTGATTTTTTTTTTGTTTTTATTGTCTCATTCACTGAGGGTATAGGGGGGCACCAGCGACAATTGCTACCGTTATTGCCCCGCGCCTTATTGTGTTTTCCAGTCAGATGATCGAGTTGTTCCCTTTAAGAAATCCTTTTCTTAATTTGTGAGCTGTCAACTCGTATCACCAGACCTAAGGCCATATGTTCAGGACACTCGGACCTGGCACAGGGTAAACGGTGCACCTAAAGCGTAGTGAGGGTGTGCTGGGAACGTCTAGCAGAGGCCCCAGTCCGCGAGATCTTCAACGCACACCTCTGGCAGAGCTTCAACAGCATTCCGAGGGAGACTGGGGACATTGAGTCCGAATGGACCATGTTCAGCGTCTCCATTGCCGAAGCTGCTGCATTGAGCTGCGGCCGCAAGGTGGTTGGTGCCTGTCGTGGTGGTAATCCCCGAACCAAATGGTGGACACCAGAGGTGAAGGGAGCCACCAGGCTGAAGAAGGAGTCCTATCGGGCTTGGTTAGCCTGTGGGACTCCGGAGGCAGCTGACAGGTATCGACAGGCCAAGCGGAATGCGGCTCGGGCAGTGGCTGAAGCAAAAACTTGGGTGTGGGAGGAGTTCGGAGAGGCCATGGAAAAAGACTTTCGGACTGCCTCGAAGAGATTCTGGCAAACCGTCAGACGTCTCAGGAGGGGAAAGCGGTGCTCTACCTGCACTGTAGTTATTGTGTCAGTTGACACTGTCTTGACTGTTAAAATTTCGATGGCAGGGGAGTGGATGGAGGCGAGAGTACTAAGATAGGCACTCCCATTCAGAAAAGTTAGCCAAGGTACGGGGAGCGATGTCAGGCGGAGAGTCAAATGAAGCCCTTGGTGTGCAGGATATTCCTAGTTGCGTTTTGTTCGTAGTGTTCTTTTGTCCACACTTACTGAAGCCCTGCACGGCATTGTTTGTAGATGTATACATGCCTCCTACCAATTATTTACAATGAAGAAGTCAGGCGGCTAAATACCCTGGACTGGCCAACCGAATGTTAGGTTCCCATACTTCACCACCGACCACCAAGAAAAGAAAAAAACTGCGATAGGTGGTGCGTCCAACATATAGGAACGTCACCTCCTCAGGCCCTACCTGGACTCTCTGCCGATGTGCTGGAAGAAGTTGTCCTTATTAAGTCTAATCCAAATGAACAGGCCCGAGTGTTCTTTTATGTTGAATACCAATTCTTCTATTTTTTTTTTTGTTTCTTTTGTGGATACACGATGCGGCGTCGTTGATCTTTTTCTTGCCGATACTTGATTGTGATAGCAATGGGGAGTTTTGGCCAACCAGTCCTACATAAGTTGTATTGGGTGGGACTTAGAGAAGGACAGGGTACACCAAAACTATACCCCTCGCTAGTATAATTGTATTATTAGGCCTGGGTGGTGGGGGGGTGACTCCGGGGTAGGTGTTTCTGGCCCAAAATTGCTACCAAAGCACTCTCATTTGCCTTATTTGTACTATAGCACGGTGTGGCAAGCTGATCTGTTTGTACCGCATAGCTGGGGTTTGTAAAAACCTCCCCCGGTAATAAGTTGCACTCTTTTCGTTTCTTGTTTGTTATGTCACTTGATTTCCCCCCTGTTGTAATATTTTGGGGAGTAGACAGAATTCTAGTAACAGCCAACTTTTTAAAGATAGCAGCTTAAGTTTTACTATTTTACACAGAGATTAATAGTTAGTTTTAGAGAGTACTTGTTTCATCAATTCACAGTTTGTTTTATTTTAGCCAGCTGAATTGGTACAAATGTCTGACAAAGTATTGCCTCCTAGCACGGGTGAGTTACCGCCATGTTCACAGTTGGAGCCCCTTGTGCAGAAAAAACCCAGCTGATCTTTCCATTTTGGAGAGATTCAATATTCTTTGAATTGCTGGGAAGCCTTTTATTCTCCCAGACAATAGCTGGAGGAAAAGTGTGAACCTTTTGGGACAGGAATGTTTCTTGGCTTCTTTGCTTTGTGTGCTGCTTCTCTCTTTGTGAGCTATCAATGCCCAATTTATGGGGAGAAATGCGATGATAGGATTTTATGGTTTTTATGGTTCCTACATTGTTATGACTGGGGTTTCATTTTTGTATCTCACCATAAAAATTAGAACATCTCTCCTTGTTATGTCTATTTTCGTGAATTATGTAAATAATTTATTATTTCAAACTGTAGAAAATAGACTGAAACTGTTTTTCTTCTACTTCAACAAAAAGTACGCAAACATTTGAAATGTAAAAATGTAAATCAAGTGCTTTTAGTGTTTGAATAACTCACTCAGTTTCTCTTCAGGTTCTTTCTTAACATTCAGCTGTTTGATTGCTGTGTTTTGTGCCACATCTCTGTTATTTCCAATGACTTCAGATCTTGGCATGTCAGGATGATGTGTACTCTTCTGTTTTAAAAACAATGAAGAATATTTTAGTATTTATTATGAATAATTGGACTGTATTGGGTAAAGCATACATTTGTAATTTTGTATGTCATGCTGAACCATAGTATTTGCCACATTTCTAGCTTAATGACGGTGCTGGTGTAGAGTAATCTCAGATCAGTGACATATTCAAAACTTCCAGCAATGTAAAGCACAGTGAATCATTTAAATAAAATAATCTGTCTTGCCTCAGGAGGGATGTTAACAATACCCTTTACTTCTTTCATCATAGGTGTTACACTCGCTGAAAAAAGAGGAAGAGTTATTTTCATACACAAACAAGGTCTTTGTTATCCAAACATACCAGTAGGAAATATATTGGAAATGTCACCTATGATACCACTGCTGCCAGTATGGTTAGAGGCAACAGCAGGCACAGTCTCATCCTCATCATTATCACTTTCTTCATCCTCATCTTCCTCAGTGCTTGGCTCATCGTTACCGACATCAACTGCATCTATATCCTCATCTTCCTCTTCTCCATCGTCATCTATATCTTTAACATGATCTTCCTCACTCTCTTCTTCAGAAGAAGAGATAGAAATCTGTGTAGCTTCTTTATCTTCCCATTTATCTGCCCATACATCATCTTCATCCATATCCTCATCATCCTCTTCTCCATCCTCATTTTCTGTCGTGTCCGGGGTGGCGGACGTGTGGAGTTGAAGATGGGACCCAAAATGCAGCAGCTCTGATGCAGGTGAGTATTTATTGAACAGGAGTAGATACAAACAGAAGTGGCAGGTGAACATTAAACTGGAAAACCTAAACTGGGCAAAACTAACAAAACAAACCAGAACGAAGATGCAGGGAGGTACGGGAAATACACAGAGAGACGGACAGCGAGATGCAGGAGACCGAGGGGAACAACACAGACAAACCAGCAACTAACAGAGGCAGACACGAGGTTAAAATACACAGAAGGATAACGAGGGGATGAGACACAAAAGGAGGGCACAGCTGGGAGTAATCCGACCTGACGAGACAGGGGAAAAGTAAACTGAACACACTGAGAACAGACACGGACCTTCAAAGTAAAACAGGAAACACATACACGTAATGACATAACACACCAACTTAACACAGACTGGGGGACACAGAACATAGGAACATGAACCATGAAACAGAAGAGTACAAACACCCAAGGTAACCAAAACCACAGAATAATAATAAAAACATAAACACGGAGTCACAGACTCCGGACCATGACATCTTCATTATGAACTTCCTTCTAATATTCTTTCAAGAAATGGAAATGTTTAAAATATAACAACGTAAACTGAGATTTTTGTAACTTTTTCCAGTTCTCAATTCCTAATTTTACACAATGCGATTCGGGTTATTATCAATTTTAGTATTTATAACCACAATATATATCATATTCAATTAACGAATAATCCCGTTAGGTTATGTGTGCGTGGCAACAAACTCCTCATTATCAGGGATAGAAGTAGAAAGGAATTTGTAAAATTACAAAACTTTTTGCTAGCTTAATAGAGGGACTTTTTAACGTTTCACTTTTTGATATTTTATTGAATGATTGCGATGTGACGTGATCATCCTTCAACTCTGCCAGGTCGTATTGCCTAAAGTTTAGGGTTTAATTTGACTAGCATAGCAAAATCACACAATGCCCCTATCTTCTATCCTGGGACAATGTTTGCACTAAATCCAAACTGCTTAGAAAACTATATTGCTTCTTGGGGTATATAGTATCGGAGAGTGGAGGATCGTATTTGAGAGTACTGGGCTGACCAAGTTTATTTAAAATTTAAAGTAGTACAAAAAGAGATTCAACATAACAAATACTTGCTTATTTTTGCATTTTGAAGGTTTGCTTAGTCATAGGAAATGAAATAATGATCATGTTTTCTGGAAGTATATTCGCTTCTAAATTATATTAATCTGTTTGCATTTTGTATCAGTGTCATAGGTGGATTGGGGAGTGAGGAAGTTGGATGCCGAGAATAAGAGAGAATGTGCAACTTTTTTTTCAAGGTTCTGTTAGGGTATTTTGTCGAATACTACTGAGTTTTGAAAAGAGCTCTAAATAAAAATATTACAAATTAATGTTGCATGGCTTGTTGTCATATTTCTCAACATTCTCTTTTTTGATGCAAGATAGAAGGAAAGAGCAAGACCAAACCTTTCAGACTGTCCCTGTGGGACTCAAGTCTGTATGATTGGTGTTCTTCTCCTCATTTTGTCGGAGGATCGTGTAATGGTTAATCACCTTTCGTCTGTAGATATTAGTTTTAATTAACAGTGTTCTATTAGCATGAGAGTAGATTTGTTAGTATTTGCAGAATGCCTGAAAAATATAAAGGAAGAAAAACAAAGTACCTGAATCACAAAAGTGCATGAGCTTTCTTGGATAAAATAATGAAACTCCATCATCAAGTGAATTCTTTTCCTGCAGCTTCTCAACTCATAGACTGTAAAAGAGCCTAAACTCAAATACAAGATTTCCTTTTACTAATAACGTATGTTGGATATATTAACTTTAATCTATTTTTAATGCACACTTCTTGTGGTTTATTTTATTGTTTTAGTTATATGTTCAGCTGGTATGTACAATAAACACTAGGGAAAAAGGAAGCACCTTTTGGTTAAAGATATATTTTTTTTTCACGTCCCACTTAACTACCTTGTCTAAACTTCTCACACATCCAGCCCTTTTGTCGTCCCAACATTTTACACGCCAAGAGTCTGTTTTTGCATATGCGCAGAAAAGAAAAGGAATAGTAATAACTCCTATTGAAGATAAGGGTTAATATATTTGAATAAATGTAATATTATCAATGATACAATTATACAAATGTACTAATAATATTCGCAATTCATGAAATTTGAGTTTTGTTAAGAGAGATGTCAGTTGTGGAGTATTTTCTTACTTTTCATTTTTATGTTTGTGTAGTTTATTGGCAGATATTTATTTATAATTCAATTCAAGTATAATGTTTTTATACTAGCACCCAAATTCAACAAGCAACAGTCGAGCTTCAAGTGCATTCATGTGGAAGGTGACATACCTTTTCAATATTTTGGTTATATTTTACAAGAAACCTCTATAATATTTGTATATTACACCCCCTTAATGAGCAGAGCGCTGTGGCTGAACAGAGTAGGCCAAAGAAAAACTTTTTTATACAAGAAGACTTCTCTGGGCAGAACTCCATGGCACAAAGAGATCAAGTGTCAGCTATATCTTGCCCAAAAAAAACCTCATAGCCAAATAAAAGTGAAGGATAATTTGGTTAATGTAATTAGCATTATTTTTTTTCTGTAAATTTGAACTTTTTTTTTAAATTTTGGCTATTTTCATTAGGAGCATATATAGCCCCATCACAATATTCATTTACTGCATTTTTTAAAGCAACTATCTTTTCTAGGAGGACAATTATTTTGTTGATAGTTCTTATTGTTTCCCAGTTTTATTCCCTTAATTTTTATATTACTTGTCTTTTATTTTACCTTTGTGCCTCAAGTATTTGAAGCACTGCTAACTATCTACTTTTATGTCTCAGATAAATTCCTGTACTGCGCTACAACAGAAGTATATTCTTAAAATTTATATTATAGAATTCTTCGAGTTTTCTGGGACATAATAACTTTCTTAATTTGATCAACTATTCTATCTCCTTCTCATCCAGTGACTCTCTTCTTTTTCTCAGGCTAGTTTGCTTTTCCTTTTGTATGGTAACTACTCAAAATGAAAATAAAAAGCTTCTTCTCCTTTTTTCAATATATCACCACACCTTATGTCACTATTTTTATGAGATAAAATTTGCGATTCTATCTATGCTTTTAACATTTTAATATCTTAAGGTTAGATAAGTAGGTTTTTCTTTTGTTATTGTTAATATCCTACTTTTTTGGTGTATTCAGGAAAGGAAGGTAACTGCTCTTTAGGATGCATGAATGAAATTCTGAGATACCTTATAAAATGATTGTATCTTGTGTACCTATTTTTCGACTCCATTTAGCCTCATACCTTATCCATATTAGTTGTTTGGAACGTTACTTATTTAGCAATAATCGTTTTCTGATGTTTCCAACAGAATATCCAATCAACAATTCTAAACTGTATACCTATTCAATTATGCGCGGGCTTTGCTATATAATTTTGTTAAGGATGATGTCAGGTTGTGTGTGTGGCATAAATATAATAAAAACAAAACAAGTGGTGCTTGAGTATTCTCTGTAAATTAACAATTTAGTTATCTATAATTGTCTCTCCAACATCTATTTATTTTACACAGAACCGCAAAACATTAGATCATCTCTTCT